CATTGCTCATGGGTGCATTTCATTATCGACTTGACCAAAATTAGCTCCCTGCCTCCGCCTCTCCTCCTAGCCAGTCTCTGCACTACTACCTGACTCATCCTTCCAGAACACAGAATGGCTCTTCAGTGGCTTCTTAAAATCCAGAGGATAAAATGAAATTCCTTTACACGCAAAGAGTGGGCTCACTTTCACCCTCAGTCTCTGCACCCTCCATAAATACTTTTATCCCCAAATCCAAATCACTAGACACTCTGTCTTCTACTTCATGCAAGTCTGATCCACCTACCTTTGCACGTGCAAGCCCCTCTCTAAAAGGTGCCCTGCCCTTCACCTCTCTCTAGTGAAATCCTCCCGTGTAACCTTCAACATTCGGTCCTGTACTGCCTGCTTCCTCTGTGAATCCTTCCCTTGGCTTCTCCCCTCTCTGTTCCTACCGTCTTACCCATTATACCTCTTAGAGAATTATTTATTTAATTAGAAAAAAGTTTTTAGGCAGCTGGCCAGTATGGGGATCTGAACCCTTGACCTTGGTGTTATAACACCAAGCTCTCACCAACTGAGCTGACCAGCCGCCTCTTAGAGAATTAATGAATAATGTTGTATTGGGTTTACCATGTGAAACTGCCATTTTGTTAGGTCCAAAACATTCAAATGTTGGCAATTTCAGAGTAAAAATGTCCCTTATTTCTATGCTGATGTGCTATTTCCCGTGTGACTGTAGTAAGCGACCGTACTTCCCTCTGCTTTGTTCTGTCAGCACCTGGCACAGTGGTTGGCATACAGTGGGTACCTGCTGAATGCCTGCTGAATGAATGAGCATGGTTCGGCAAGGTATGCTGCCTGTTCTGCCATGTTGTGTGCTCTAACACACAAACAGAACTGAATCCAGGACTGTTGTAAAATATCTTGCAAATTTTCATCCCAGCCAAGCCAGACTCCCCGTGTGTACCTGTGCAGGTGAAGCAGAGCATGAGAACATCTCAGGTCACGCAAGGGTGGGGGCAGCCAATGATTCAGGACAACTACCTTTCTGGCAGGAGAAGCAGAGTCGACAGTCGGCAGAGAGGAAGGAGCAGCTGGAGCAGGAGATGGAAGGCAAGAGGGAGAAGACGGAGGATGTGTATGAGACAGGCCTTGAGAGAGTAGTTTATTCTGCACAGAACAGAAATAGAGGAAACTAGGATTATCCTAGGGACACGCACAGGGTTGCCCACCTCTGTGACGCAGCCCCCGCCTGTGCACTCAAAGGTGGGAGGGAGCAGGGGGGAGAGAGACATCGAAGCCCCTGTCTCAGGACAAAGCAGAAACCTGTCTTGAGCCCAGCAGGATTTTCTGGCTCCTGGTCGCCCTGAGTTCTGCTATAACTCCTCCAGCTCCCTTGTCACATCAAAATAGTTTAAGAAGATCCATTCTGTTCCTGCCTACATCCACCCCCGCCGCCAGCGCTTATCACTGAAGCCCTCACCCTGGAGCTTGGTATGAAGCAGCAGCAGCTGCGAGCTTAGGAAACAGGAGCCCTGGGCTGCTCTGGGGCAGATGGCCACAGCAGGGGCCCTGCAGCTGTACACAGACAACTGTGCTGGCCTCCTGGCTGCCGTGCGCAACACTCAAAATGAACTCACTATAAAGCATCCTTCCGAAGTCAATGACTCCACCAAGTAGCAGAGGACACAGGTCTGGAGCAGACCGAGTGACAGCAGGGGAGGAGATACGTTCTAGCGACAGGCTTGCTGCAAGCAAAGGACGACTTTCCACATACACTCACCTGCAGGATCTCATTGTCAATGCTTTCAGCTCCCTGTGAGCACACGCTCATCTTTCCAGCAAGCTTCCGAATGAGTACCTGGCTTGGAAGGGGCTGTACTTCCTATTCTAAGGTGAAGCCACTCTTCTTGGCTCAAGGTTGCCTCTTATGGAAGCAGAGCCCAGGTTATGACATGTGGTTAACCTCTTCATTCAGCATCTCCCTGATCAGGGCTGCAGGGAGATTTCTCTACTGTGCGTTGCCTCTTATGGAAGCAGAGCCCAGGTTATGACATGTGGTTAACCTCTTCATTCAGCATCTCCCTGATCAGGGCTGCAGGGAGATTTCTCTACTGTGCCCCAAAATGCCACAAGCCACTGGTTTGCTTTCACCTTAAAGGCACCATCATTCTTGGAACTAGACAGCTTTCCCTCTTTCGGTTGACTCTTAGGAAGCTTCGAGCCTGCTTAGAAACTACCTAGCATTTAACAGCCTGTGTTTCTGTTTGGTAATGTTTTCCTGGGACCTGAGCTTACTTTACAGCCTTGGTTTTCTCCCCAAAATGCCACAAGCCACTGGTTTGCTTTCACCTTAAAGGCACCATCATTCTTGGAACTGGACAGCTTTCCCTCTTTCGGTTGACTCTTAGGAAGCTTCGAGCCTGCTTAGAAACTACCTAGCGTTTAACAGCCTGTGTTTCTGTTTGGTAATGTTTTCCTGGGACCTGAGCTTACTTTACAGCCTTGGTTTTCTCTTTGTCATGATGTATCTACTTATTTTAAATCTTCTCATTTGGATCTTTTTTAGATGCCAGCTTGAATTCTCGAGTGGCTTGAAAAATGAACAGCTCCTCGTAATATAAAAGGAGGAGGAAGGAGTAATAAATCACACTACAGAGCCTGGTTCGTGGCCACCTGGCTGGCTGTCCCACATCTGAGTTCCCGGGGGCTCTGAAAGCCCCATGTTTACCTGTGGGGACTCCCCATGTCCAAACATGGAGGCGAGGTGAGCTGCCTTCTCCTTAATGTTCTTTTTGTGAAATTCCCTGTTGGCCAAGTTCTGAGCCCTCTTCTGTAGTCCAGGCAAGAAAGGAAAAAGAAAAGAGAGAGCATGACAGAGGCTGTGACGGTTGCCCCCAAGGGAGAGGCGAGGGAGGCAGTCTGGGGGCTTGTCTGCTCACTACACACAGCAGGACAGGAGGCAGGAGTGAGCGGTAGGAGAAGGGACCCACCATGGGCAGGAGGAGGGAGAGAGGGGAAAGGAAGCCACCTAGACATGGACAGAGGCAGGGCAAAGGGTGATCTTTCACCTGAAGAATCTTTTCTTCCACTTGCTGCAGCCGCCGCAGCACCCCAGAAAGGGCCAGCGCTCCCTGGCAGGTAGGAGGCAGGGCTGTGGAATTTTCTGGCCCACCCAGCTGCAGGTCAGACTTGGCTCTGGCTCTCCAGGGTCTGCTTGGGCACTCACCACCAGCAGACACTTGATTGAGCTCTCTGAGCACATGGCCGGTCACAACCACGGGGGGCAACTGGGAAAGAGGGAAAATCAAGCTTCCTTCCCTACTGTGGCCCTGTCACAGACCTGCACTGTAAGGAATCCCCCACAAGGACCAGAAACATAGGGCACACCAGGTGCCACCCTAAGCCTCAAGTGTTGACTTTCCACACCTGCATCAGAATCACCTGGCACACTCATTAACAATGAAGTCTTGGGCCTCACCCCAGACCCTCTGAATCAGAACCTGTACAACCCTGGTTCTCAATCCTACTTGAACACTGAAATTATCTAGCGTGCTTAAAAAAAACAACTCAAGTCTGGGCCCAACTGCCAGAGATCCTGATTTGATTGGTTCAGAGTCAGTGTGGGACATTAATATTTTTTAAAACGTTTCCCAGGTGATGCTTATACAGAGAGACAAAAATCAATGCATTATATCCACATCTACCTTGCTCAACCTCCGCTACCTGGAAGCAACAAAAAATTCCTAATGCTGACCAGACTTCTTCGAAGTTTGTGGTCCATAATAGTGGTTCTGTTCTAATTCCAAACTCAGAGACGCTAGCTGGAAGAAGGCACAGCCCGTGGCTGCCGCGGTCTCCCTGCCCACCATGCAGGTTCCGGTCTTACCCCTTCAATGCGTGCAGCTGAGCAACGGCCCCCGCCCCAGCCCATTCCAACATCATGCCACTTTTTCATCAGTTTGGAAATCAGCCTATTCAAATGGTCTGCTAGTAAAGCTAAGTGTTGCAGGTGCACCTCACAGAATACCCCATGTGACACAGTTTGTTTTTCTCCAAGCAGCACCACCAGCGCTTGGTGTTTGGCCAGTCAAAACCTCTGATTGGCTGAGGGATCAATGGCACCTATTTGAAGGTGCTGCATACTTAGTCACTCTTTCCTATAAGGGAGGTGATGTCAAGTCGTGTCCAGTTGCAATCAGCCCTATTTGGGGTATGGAGAAAACCACTGACCCCACCCCTTTGGATTAAAGTCCCCCCTGGCTTTACCAAAACAGCATCCACTGGAAGGAGCCCTACCTGCCTTTTCAGAGGAGGTGCCAGGCTGGGTGTGGGCTCCTCCGGCTTGGGGCAGCAAGAGTTAACAGGACAGTCAGAGGAAGAGCACAGGACGGGCTTACCTATCCCTGAGACATGGTGTTCCTGGGAGGAGAAAGGTGAATCCGAAAGAGCAGCCGCAGGAGACAGGAAGGAAAAGCTGAGTCAGATCAGATACTTGGAGGGAGGAAAGGAGCAGGGATACACAGTTGGCAAGTGCAGGGAGAGTGCAGGGCTGAGCTCCTGCAAGCCGGGCCCAGCTGGGAAACTTGAGCCCTGGCTCTCTGTCCATGTGAACAGCAATTTCTGGAGTCCCCTTCTCTTGCATAACGTGTGAATCCCAGGGAGGCCTTGCTTTTGGCTCCGACATAGGTCCCCGGGTGAGCACTGCTAGAGCCCACGCCAAGCCAGGGTGGCCAGCCCAGGAGTCCTCCTGGAGGTGAGAAAGCTCCCTGCCCCCTTGAGGACAGGGATGCTCCAGTGCTTCTGATGGAGTAGAACCTTCATCAACACTTGGCGACTGTAAGGGGCCAAGCCTCCAGATGAGGCAATCGAGAGAATTTTTAGAGAATTACAAGTCTTAGGAAAATGGCCCTGTCATAATAAAAATCTCTTCCTTTCCTGGGGAAGTTCAGTTAGTCCAAGAGGAGCATGGTCCACGCCAAGACCAAGAAGATGTCCATGAAAGCTAATTAACCAAGAGTCTGTCCTTCTGAAAGAAACCTACTTTTGTCATGTAACAAGTATTCTTCATGGCAAAACCAAACCTCTTTCCCCAAGCTTTTTAATGTGACAACAGCACCCCAAGGGAAATTCAGGGGAGCAAATGGAACCCTGAGGCACAGACCCCCCAGCTAGAGCCAGAGAGAAGCTGTAGCCTGACCCACAACATTCAGCCTCCTTTTGCCTCAGACTAGCTCCAGACAGACACAACAGCCCTGCCAGGCTGACCTAAGGGTACAGGGGGAGGGTATAGAGGGTCTCAGAGAACACATGGGAGGCTGGCTCAAATCCATGTAGACCTCTGACTCAGTGTCCTCTGGTTTGGATGGGTCTTCTCACCGTGAACTTAGATAGTATTCTCCCAGCCAGCATCTCAAAAGCTTCCTCAAGCTGCACCATCTCAAAATTGGCTGCAAACCAAGTCATGGTTGCAAAGCAAAACCAAATTAGGGAATTAATTTCTTCAATGCAGAACATCAGCAAACTATGGCCCACAGGCTTAGTCTGGCCTACTGCCTGTTTTTGTAAATAAAGTTTTATTGGAACACAGGCACACTCATTTTTTTTTTTTT